ACGATGGTTTTTCTGCCCAATTTTTGACTGTTCACTAAACTAAATAGTCCTACTCATCGCTTGCGATAGAATGGGGTCTCTATTGCATAGATCTCAAAGGATCTTATATTCAAATTATGGAAGTATAGACGAATAAAAGGAGAAATTACTGCAAAAAGAAACTCCTAGGTTGTTTTAGATTCAATTGAAGTGAAATCTCCACAGTGTATCCTGCGAATGGATTAGAACACCACTGTCTACACCGCATTACACGAGTCTGGTGGGGAAAGCGGCCAAGTAATGCTGAGGTTAGACGCACAGATTTAGGCTATCGCAATAAATCGTCGACCTCCATAGACTAGGCTGGTTGGGACATGTGTTACACATGTCATCAGATAGATTGCCGCGGCAGGAAGCGGTTGAAAAAAGGTCAACGGCGGTCAAACGAGGATCTGACACGAGGACGTGAAAACCCTTACCAGAAGACTGGTTCACATAGGTCCCGTTGGGCACCCTGGATCACTGCAATCAATGGTTAGAGACACTGAATGACACGAACAGTGATGTTCATGCACCTACTCGTTATTCTTACAAACCGAGTCTATATAAATTCTGTTTTCTGTTTGACTCTGCGCTGAACATTCCGATCTTCATTCGGCTCTTTTATTCGACTGAGCAACCATGAGATAGTGACTGAAACCAGTGCACGAAAACGCATGGTTCTGAAAACTGAAATGGATCGAATTGTCCTGGAAACCGTTTGTGATTCTACCCAAATACCACATGTAAACGTGCATATATCCACGGCCAAATTAAGTGTTTCGAACAAGACGAAACTGTTTATCATCTATTGCGGTGAATGAGTCATATTATTGCATAATATTACCGAACAGATGTGACTTGGATACTTCAGAATTGAACTGAACCCGAATTTTATTAGTCACAGACCGGGGTGAAGTTCGGAGGTGATTAGCACTATCACGCACCTAAAAGACTGACCGTTTCAACAAAACATCACGTCGGTATCAAAGGTGTTTCAGTCCTGCGTAAGCTACTCAAGCCCTGGGAATGCGGGCAGTTACTTCATTGAGTATGCTACCGTCATTAGTCAAGTAGCTAAGTAGGAAAAACATTCCACTATAGCTAATTACTGACCATGGAGCATCAGCGCCGGGTTAAACAACACCCAATCTTGCAGCATCACTTTGCACTTTGAAGGTGCAAAGCACATACCAAATGAAGTTACAGAACTTGAAAGTCTGTCAAGAGCGATTTGCGAATCCTCCATACATTCGTTGCTCAATTGGTACCTGATACTCCTTTGTGATCTACAACTACGAAAGGTGTTTTCTTTCGGAACCCAGCTCAGAGTTTTTTGACTCAAAAATTATATCGGCAAGGCGATGTGGAAAATGACAACAAGATCCGGCAATGCGTATTGGTTCCAGACAATCGTCCTCTAACCATGCATGGTAGCTCTACTACGCATACT